TATCATGTTCTCATTTGGTGACGCGTGTCAAGCTATAACTGGGCATCAGTACTCATTTCGCCCAATCTTCCGCTTTTATCGCATTTTAACCAACCGCATATCGCCTAATTTACGACCGGAAAACGACCATATTTGTATTCCTTTCTTTTCGCACTCGCTTATCCAAACACTGATTATTGGCACATGAGTTGTCGAAATGGTTGTTTTAGTGCCATAGTTTGAGGATTCAACGAGTATTAACCATTATTTAATTTCGAACGACACTTCCAATCCATCATACTTTGTATCGTTACCTTTAGGATTACAGATCTCCAGTCAAGAGAGTGGCGTTTGGACGGAACCCCAAAATGACAGGGAGTAAAACACGGAAGTGGAAGAGCTGTCCATGCATTGACCAATCACACAAGAGCTCACAAACACCAATGAAATATTTGTTGTTGTACTTAAAGGGGCACCTTCCAGTTAAGCCTAATCTCACAACAAATTTACTTCCTGGATTAAAATAACAATGGATAACAAAGATAGATTAACATTGTAAACAACATAAACAATAGTGTCCCATGATTCTTTGGTGCAATCCATGGGATTGAGCGGTTCCCCTTTAACAAAAAGGTTTCGCACTAAAACCAATGGAACGTGCGTGCATGTGCGAGATATATGGGTCTCATATAAACAAAGATGGCAACTTTAACTGTTGCGCATATCAACGAGTACGAACTTAGTTTCCAAGCTTTTATTAGGCTCTTTTCATGTGATTGGAAGGTATCGAAGGAGTCACCGTCAGTGCAAGTCGCGCCCAGGTCAAACCTCATACTTGTGATTTCCGTTTGAAGAACGCGTTGGATTGTGGGAAAATCAATGTTTATCAACACAAATGTCGCACATTCGCAGCGCGACGACTACCGCGCTTTAATTAATATTCATGAATGACTATAAATACATTAAAATGCTTCTTCATTAAATGAACCAAAAAATGCCTGCATTCACTGTAGTGTCCCGTGTTAAGACGTGTTTTAAGACTTCAAAAGTGTCCCAGAGCGAAAATGCATAATACGTGAATGTTCAACAACAAGCTGATAGAGAGGGACTGTGTTCCGTTTGAATCCAGGGCTGCTACCTCTTTCACAAATATATGATTATCGAGACATTTACGTGATACAGGCAATGCTAACTCCCTAAAGAAACCAGGAACATATTGATGCGTTTTCCAAAAAACAAATAAGCCACGGCCATGTATTTAAAATGCGAGCGAGCAGACGGGCGATATATAAATCAAAAAAATATAAATAAAGCGGAAATTATTCAACAAGCTGTTGTAAAAGCGAGTGAAAAAAATGATCGAAAAGCAGAAGCGCGCAATAGGTCGGGTGAAATTAGTGCTGTACATTAAGTTCCTTTGTAAAAATACGATCGGCCAAGAATAATCATTCTGAAGCACGCCAGATACAGAAAAAATGCAGTATTGAATATTGACATCGTTCGTCGTTTTACAGACTCGTTTTGCAAGTTTTAACGGCTACGTTCTGTTGAAGATATAAGACTTCACTTTCGGAGTTATTACCGAAGATAATGTACGACAGCAAAAAACATTTGGTTATGTGAAATTGATTAGCATTCATGTAGGTCCAATATGTACTGTTTTCTTTTTTTCATTCACGTTCGCATTTCTCTCACATTATGTCGCATCTCAACCAGTTCAGTAATACACAACTGAGCCTATAACCTGTTGTTAACAACAATTGTCTCACTGGAGCAAATTCATCTCATGGCATATCAACTCATGAAATTCAAGTTCGGTAAACAATGCTCTATTTCTTTCTTATAGAATGTTATTATTGTACTAATAGAGGCTGAGTAAATGATGAGCAAACTTCTGCATAATTTCACCTCAAATGTTTTTCCTTTGCAATTTGAATGCAGTCAATACATTATATACACCAATGGAGCCTTAAACTAAATGTCTTCTGATTGCTAGCAAATACCTCCATGTTGGATTATAATTTTATTTGGCATCTAATGTCAGGTTAAATGTATACCGAGAATTCGAACATAATTCTTATACTCACATATTGAGAAACTTAAAGGGCGGTGGTCGTCGCGCTGCGCATGTGCGACATTTGTGTTGATACATATTGATTTCCCCACAATCCAGTGCGCCCTTCTAATGGAAATCACAAGTATGAAGTTTGACCTGGGCGCGACTTGCACTAATTACTGCCGGTTACTCCCTGGTTACTCCCTCGATACCTTCCAGTCACCTAAAAAATACCTAATTAAAGCTTGGTAATGTCTCAATTTGTACTCCTTGATCTGCGCAACAGTCAAAGTCGCCATCTTTGTTTATATGAGACCCATATACCCCGCGCACGCGTGTCGCGACGACTATCGCCCTTTAAGCTAACGTCTATGCACTGCCACCAATAAGACACTTAAAAGCAAGGATTCAAATGACCATCGTTGTAATTCGCGCGGTCATTGGATTCAACATTATTTTTTTTAATCAACACTTCTGTTCATCCATCATTGTGAGAATGGATGTGCTGCTGGCTGTTTCAATTGACATAATTTAAAGTGTGATCCCCATTTCAAGAGAAAGATACATGTATTGTTTCTGAGGTGGTAACGGTCAGCCATTACGTATTCATACGAAAACATTACTATTCTGTTTTGCTGCTCCTTTCAGTTTGAATGTAGTCAATAAATTGTATACACCAAAGAAGCTATAAACCAAGATGTCTTTTGAGGACTAGCAAATACTTTCATGTTGGATTTAATTTGGATAACGCTTAATATGTGTCAAATTTTTAAACGTGTTCCAATCCCCTAGTACGCTAAGTAAGTAAATATCACCCATTGTCAGGCATAACATTGACTTGATTATCATTATACCATATACCGTGAGATTCTATTGACTCTAATTTGCACGTTTTTCAACGTTGCATTAAGTCCGTCTCATAAAATTCACATGTTATTCACGTGACTGAAAGTGATAAAAACCAGTGTCAGGATACTAGTGATCAAAAACGATCAAATTGACCGCCAGCTAATCACTTAGACTGCATTACTTTATCTAGGCTTCATCTAGGGGATGTCTGAACCACAGATCAATTTTTAAGTGTTCCCCTGTTTTTTTCTGGAATTGATTACATGACAGATCTGACGGTTCTCAAACATCCTCTTCATTCAGTGAAATGTTACCTTTTTTTGTTTGTTTTTCCATATACAGATTTACTTGAAAAATTACATTTCTGTAGTGTTCTGTTTTTCCATTAATTTATCGAAGAAATGTTATTATTGGAGTCAATTTTTCAAATGTAGTATCATCCTGTCAGTTCGTTTTGCGATAAAATTTTCACAAGTATATATTCGCTTAACGAAAGACAAGAATCCTCTAAATTGGGACTTTCCTCCATTCATTTCTGAAAAATATACATGTTTCCTATCAAGAAGACAAATAAAATTCAACAATAATGTTTCATCTGGGTCTGATAAAATCATACAAAGCCTGCTGGGAGGTGAACTCAGTTTCAGAGACCCACCCCACCAGAACAGCAAATCCTTCCATAGGGACATTGTATATCTACAGTCATGGAAGAGATGCTCATAGGTCTCTGCTTCGCTCTGGCAGAAGGTGCACAGTGGGCTAGGATATTTATGTGGGTTGATTCTATGTAGTCTCTTATTCGTATACAAAATGTTATGAAGAGTTTTGAATTGGAACTCTCTTGTCTTTGTATCAGTAGTCATTTTTAACAG